TTTGGGCGCTCTGGCTAGGCTGCTGAGTTTCAATAAGTCCACAACTAAGGCGAACGATGTGGCCACCAATGGCAATACTCTCACTGGGCTTGGAAGCAAGATTGTACCTTCTTCGGCTCCCCCGTCCTCACCGAACCCGCCCCCACCGCATACTATCGACGGGATAACGCACCGCTTCAACCCCACACAGCTCGACCGCGTGGGAGAAGAGCCAGATGTGGAAGCAGAAGCCGGCAGAAGTTCTGGTCTCGCACCCCCACCAGCCACGCCTGGAATGCCACCCGTCAGCCCTGGCGCACGAAGTATCGTCTTCCTAGAGCCACCTCGCCACCCTCACGGCAGCGTACCTGGCACACCATCCATCAACGTCCAGCATCCCACCTCTGGTCCGGGAGGATTCAATATCAACACCTTTCTTGAGGAAAAACGCAACAACATCGGCCGTAACGGCCAATTCTTCAACCTAACCCACCACGACCGCGAGTACCTCGGAGGTCTCGAATACCGGGCCATCGAAGTTTTGGGTGTGACTGTAAGCGTGTACTTCATCCTCTGGCAAGTCCTGGGGGCCATCGCGTTGGGTGCCTGGCTGTCCGTCTACGCGCCCGACCTCATCGCCGCCAACGGACAAAATGCCTGGTGGGCGGGCATCTTTCTGGCAGTGTCGGCATTTACCAATGGCGGGATGAGCCTGCTAGACGTCGGCATGACGGCTTTTCAGAGCGGGTACTACTTCGTCATGATCGTGGTCGTGCTACTTATGCTGGCCGGCGGTCCTGCTTTTCCCGCGTTTCTGCGGCTGATCGTCTGGAGCATTTCGCTCCCGCTGAAGTACTGGACCAGCGCGGAGAGCTATGCCGCCTGGAAGGAGACTTTCGATTTCATTCTCAACTATCCGAGGCGAGTGTACACGCAAATGTTTCCCAGCAGGCCAACGTGGTACCTTGTTGGCATGTTGGCGGGGCTCGTGCTGATCGACTGGATCATGATTCACGTCTTGAGCATCGGGAACGCCGCGCTCGATGCGATCCCGGAGGGGCCGAGGGTCATGGACAGTTTCTTCCAGAGCGTGTCAGTCATGTCGGGCGGGTTTGCTGCCATCTCGCCGTCGACGCTGTACTGGGGTGTGCAGATCCTCTGGGTGGTGATTATGTACCTGTCTGCATACCCTGGCGCGATTACGATGCGTAACTCGAACGTGTATGAGGAGCGGTCGCTTGGGATTTATGCAGGGGAGAATGATGATGTTCAACTGGACAATAACGACAAAAAGAATGATGGGAAGGTGGGGACGATGCCATCACACCCCCCGACGACGGGGATGATGCTCCCCGGACTGACGCAAGCCCAGACCGGCAACTCGCACATGTCGAGTCTCTCCAGAATGACGAGTAAACTGGAACTGAAAAAGGCGCTTGATTTGGGACTCAGGGGCACAGAGTTTGTGGGAAGGACACTGCAGCGCCGCATGACGGGGTTCAACGGTGTTGGTGTTGCTCCTCCAGCACGACGACCACGACCCGAGAAGCGTCCAGAGACTCCCGGTGGTGGCGACTCGGACTCAAGCAACACCGCATCCGTCCGCTCAACTTCGGAAGCTGAAGGAGCAACGACCGATCTGGTATCCCACCACGTGCGAAGCCAGCTCTCCCACGACGTCTGGTGGATCGCCTTCGCTTTGTTCCTCATCACTGTCATCGAGACGTCGCACTCCTTGGGAGACCCAGTCACGTTTAGTCTGTTCAACATCATCTTCGAGGTCGTCTCGGCGTATGCGAACAACGGGATTTCGATTGGGCTTCCGTTTGCGGCGTTTAGTTTCAGTGGTGGGTGGCATACTGGAAGTAAGATGGTGTTGGTGCTGGTCATGCTTCGTGGTAGACATCGGGGTCTGCCTGTGGCACTGGACCGCGCCGTGAGGTTGCCGGGCTTGGATTTAGATGAGAAGGAGGAGGATGATGCCGAGATTAGGAGGACGATGAGTAGGGTTTCGGGGAATGTTAGTCGCACTGTGAGTCGGAGTTGATGAGGGGGGGACGACTTTGTAATACATGGATGTGTGTGATAAAGTGGGATTGGGAAGTTACCTTATCTATTGACGGCAAAGAATGTGCGTCTTTTGAAGAACACATTTATCCAGTTCCTCAGAATAGTACTACACTGGTATTGTGTTAAATTGGTTTCAAGTATCTCAGCATCTCTTCACACCAAATCATGGTGACATGTCTACCGACGCAAACATCCGCACCGTGTCTCTGTGAGCTAGACGAGATCTAGCTAGAACAAGAGGAACTTCATCCCATACCAAGCCATTGGATTTTGCGGGGAAGACTAGCGGCGCCTGCCTCTCTAATAACCTCATTGATTACAACTGCTCGTTGCTGTGGACGTCAGATGGTTAAGCAAAGCGGTTCCGCAATTTCTCCAATCGCACAGTCCCCTTTCATGGGTGGCCATGCCCGTCTTGGCTAGATCACTTAAAATCCCAGTTCGGAACATGCTTGGAAGTCTTGTGCCTCGGTATCGGGGATTTCCCCTCACTTCTTGAGTGTTTGGACAGGGGGTGGTTGGAGGCCCAAAGAGGAAATTGGCCCTTTAGCGGCAAGTGGCCCTTACAAGGTAGTACATTGTCCCCAAAGGTCTTGTTTGATCCGTAATAAATATCACTGAAAGGGGTTCAGTACTATTACCTTCACGTTGTTGACAACTTGTCCCTTTCAAGTCATCGACAGGATTGGCAACAAGAAAATGGCAGCCCTCGTCCTCTCCGTCGCAGCCGGTACCGCCGCCGCATCAGCCTACCTCAACGCACGCCTGTCTCTCGAGCACGACGCGCTCTTTTTTGGGATTGTCGGTTCGACCGTGTTCAACGTCGTGCGCGCCGTACGGGCCGACAAGATCAACGTGTTCTACGTCCTGGAAAAAAAGGCACTCGATATGGCCACCGCCAACACTGTGTTCTTGTGGTTCGAGGGCTGTACGCACACGTACGCCGAGACGTACGACAAGGTTCTTCGGTATGGGACATGGCTGCGCACGAAGCATAATGTGAAAGCAAAGGAGATCGTGGCACTGGATTACCAGAACTCGGATACGTTTGTGTTTTTGTGGTTTGCGCTGTGGAGTATCGGGGCAAAACCCGCGTTTATTAATTACAATTTGACGGGGAAGCCGCTGGCGCACTGTTTGCGTGCGGCGACGACGAAATTGGCGATTGTTGATCCACGAGTGGCGGAGAGTTTGACGGATGAGGTGAGAGGCGAGACGCAGGGGATCGAGTTTGTTGTTTTTACACCTGAGAGAGAGGCAGAGGCACATGTCACAGAGGCAGTAAGGTGCGAGGATGAAGTGCGGTCTGAGGAGGGGTTCGTGGGTATGGCAATACTGATTTATACCTCGGGCACAACGGGATTGCCTAAGCCGGCGATTGTGTCGTGGGGGAAGATTTACACGGCAGCGAGTTTGGCAGGACGGGGTACGGGGACGAAACCTGGGGAGATATTCTACACCGTGGGTTTTCCTTCTCTCTCTTTTTCTCGTATTATACTTGGACTCTATTGCAGTGAGACTGAAACAGCTAACTTTTGTGTTTTGTGTTCAGTGCATGCCGCTCTTCCACAGCTCGGCGTCATGTCTCTGCGTGGGCAACGTTCTCTTCGCGGGCGCGACCGTCGCCATCGGCCGGCGCTTCTCCACCAAGACATTCTGGAAGGAAGTTCGCGCATCGGGCGCCACAATCATTCTGTACGTGGGCGAGACGTGCAGGTATCTCACTGTTGCGCCGCCTGAGCTGGATCCTTTTACGGGCGAGAACCTGGACAAGAAACACTCGGTCCGGGTGGCCATGGGCAATGGGCTCCGGCCAGATGTGTGGGACCGATTTAAGGAGCGGTTTGGAATTGATGTGAGTTCTCTCTTTTTAATGTTTATTTTACCCCTGATTTCATCGCCCTTCAACTTGTAAGTTTGGACACGACCCGCTAACAGATGACCAGACGATATTTGAGTTCTACGCCGCGACCGAAGGTGCACTGGGAACATGCAACCGAAGCCGCAACTCCTTTGGCAAGGGCGCCATTGGGCGTTTTGGCTTCCTGTCCAAAACTGTCGTCGGCATCCGCAGCGCCACGGTGCGGCTCAACTACGAGACAGAGCTGCCGTGGCGGGATCCCAAGACTGGTCTCTGCCAGCGAGTCAAGGCAGGCAATCCGGGCGAGTTCATCGTCAAGCTGCCCAGCGACGACGTGGGCAAGCGGTTCCAGGGATACTACGGCAACGCGGCAGCCACAAACTCCAAGATCATGCGTGACGTGTTCACCAAGGGCGACGCGTGGTTTAGGAGCGGGGATATCATGCAGTGGGATAGCGAGGGCCGCGTGTTTTTTAATGATCGCATTGGAGACACGTTCCGGTGGAAGAGCGAGAATGTTTCGACGGCAGAAGTGGCACAGGTGCTGGGCTTGCATCCAGCCGTTATAGAGGCCAACGTGTACGGCGTGCAGCTGCCGCATCATGATGGTCGGGCTGGATGTGTGGCCATCGTGCTAGGCCAGTCTGCTGTCGGGGAAGACCTTCTGGCCAGTCTCGCGGCCCACGCTACGCAGAAGCTGCCGCGATATGCGGTGCCGCTGTTTTTGCGTGTTGGCAAGGAGGTTGGTTTGCAGAATACAGGCACCAACAAGCAACAGAAGCAGGCCCTCCGCCAGCAGAACATCGATCCCGCCAAGGTCCAGGGTGATGAGATGTTTTGGCTCAAGGATGGGACTTATGTGCCCTTTGGTGAGAAAGAATGGAGGGAGCTAGAAGGGGGTCGTGTTAAGCTCTAACCTTACTTGGCTCTTTCTATTAGCTCAAACTTCAACATCTTAATTACTGTACAGAACGCATACAAGAGTTTCAAGCCTTGGCTTTGGCTGCCGTGGGTGCCCATAATTCCACTTTCTTGTCTCTCACTCCACCAAGGATCCATCACAACAGCAAACAGCATCCAAGCAACCAAAGCCCGCATAGCTCAGGGGTAGAGCGTATCACTAGTAACCATCACAGTCATGATAAGGTCATCAGTTCAATTCTGATTGTGGGCAAATGTTTTGCAATCGCCGTGGTGCAAACAGACGACAGAAAGGGAATTGTGGTGTAGCGAGCGTGATCGTATCATCTGTTTGCATGCTTGTGGTCGCGAAATACTCGGACAATCAGGAAACAAAGTTGACCGAAACCTAATCAAGAGTTTAAACATTCTTGTCGTTACAGGACCTCTGTTTTTGTCTTTTAATAGCATGTAACACTCAACTCTAATTGAGCTGTTGGTTTTTGGATATGTGCCCACGCCGCATGGTGAAAAGAAGTATCCAACAACGACATCGCTTAAAGAGTTGACACCAAGTCGAGCTCGCTGGTCGGACCACGCAAGTTTTCTTCAAGAAGGTTTGGTTATGCCCTGCATGCATCACTGGGCTTTTTGCTGACCCCTCAGTAACAGAGCGCTGCGGGTGCACTCGGCCTCAACATGGTGAAGGGCTCGTTTGAGTTAGAGAAGGCAGTGTATTCGTTCATTCCCGAGTATGTGCCTCGGCCAGTCGCGTACGGCACTTACAAGTCTCAACCTATCATGCATTTTTACCTCGCCGAGTTCGTCGAGATGGAAGATGCTGCTCATCCGGACGCTGAGGGATGGGCGACGGCACTCTCAACGCTGCATGAGAGAAGTTTGGGGAATTTGCTAGAGGGAAAGTTTGGGTTTCACGTCGACACGCACCTGGCCAACATCCCGCAGCACAACACCTGGAACACGTCGTGGGAGAAGTTCTGGGCCCAGACATTTCGCTCCATACGCAAGAGGGAAGAGGCAGTGCAAGGACGGGATGAAGACTTCACGCGACTGAAGGAAACGTTTCATGAGGTTGTGATTCCTCGCTAGCTGCGACCTCTAGAGTCAGAGGGGAGGGCTGTCTAGCCGACGCTCCTACATGATGACACATCGTCTGGAAATGTTAGGCCGAGAGTCGACTCGCCAGAGTGTTTGGCTGTTTGACTCTTGTGCTCTCTGGGGTCACCACGAAGGTGCGTTTGGTGTTTGGCTTCCGTGATGAGAAAGAACTCGCTGACAGTCGTTGTGTCCAGCTGACCTCCGATTTACGCGCCAAAATGGATGGGACTTGGAGAATGCAGGCGAAACGTACAGGAAGACCATGGGCGTGTCAGAGCCTCAGGAAGACTTTGGCGCCCAGATTGAGGTGTATGCGACACTGGGGTTTGCCCTCCGCTTAGCGATGCACCCTGATGAGCTGCGACGGAGATTGATGTAAGTGCATGGAAGATTGCAATCTGAAGTATTGATACGGTTAAATGCTGATAATCTAGGTTCATCGAGCAGATAGAAAAGCTGATTCATCTTGCTCGGACTTCGCCAATAGCTCCAAGTGGACATGTAAGGGGAAGGCCAAGGAAGAGCCGATGATCAAATTGAGCTTTCCTGTCGTTTGGTGATTCAGGAAATTTGCCTGTGGAATGCTTCCAGTGGTCGCAAAAGAAGGTCGGGTGGGGCTGGGGGATCGCCAGTGACGCATGGATGATGGTGGGGCGCGGCGCCAACACCTGAAAACCGGCTTGGTGTGACGGTGGGGATTGCATCATAGACAGCCCCAAACCAAATATTAAAACTTGAGAAACCCTCAACTAGCAGGAGCAACTGATGATTTTCCAATTCTCGATTTGGTCAAATTTGAAACATCATGGACTCATCTCGAAAATTCCCCGATAGGGCGGCATCGCTACCGCGTTCTTGGCGAGCTTCGACTAGCCAATTTTTACATGTTTTGAAAAGTCTGAAATGGCGATATATCGTCCTTGCAGCGACCACCCTCTATTTCCTCTACTGCTTCGTCTTTTCTCTTCCTCTTTTTGCTCACCCACTACCAAAACACACCGGGCCG